AGGAACACTGACGCTGATATAGAGGAGAACTGGAGCTGGAGCACACACTAAACACTGATGAAGATGAAGATGAGGAAAAGTGTCTCAGACTTACAAGCTGAATGATGTTGGTGACGCTCTGCCAGTTGGCGAGTTTGATATGATCTCCTCCATCAACCAAGCCTTGATAACCCTGAGAGAGAGAGGAAATGATTTGGCAATACATTGAAAACTGTAAAATTGTCTGCCAATAATAAAGCACATTTTATATTTTTTATTATTTGAGAGAGAGAGAGAGAAAATCCCACAAGCTCTCAGTGTCTCTCGCCCAGCAGAAGCTCCTACCTCATAGATCAGGTAGACTTTAGCGCCTACAAAGATGCCCATGCGTGTTACAGCTCGAACAGCAGCATTCATCCCTGCAGAAATCACACACACACACACACACACACACACACACACCAAAATGCATTTAATGCATAAAGTGCATTAGTGTTTAATGCAACAACTACATGTACATGATTTGACAAAGTGTATGCAATGCACAATGCAATCTGGCAACACACACAACATGCAGTGCCAATTTACCGTGCAAACAATTCCAGAACAAACAAGAGCAGCGAGAAGACCCTAGATCATGACAGAAAGCGCTGCTCAAATAAGTTACATAACAGTTCATGCATTATTCTGCCCCAGATTCTCTCATATAACACAGAAATAACTGAGAAAATCAGGAAATGACACAAAATACACTGAGCAGAAACACTTTTGCATTAGTATCATGAAGTGCAGGAGTTTAGCAGTGTTTGCACGAGTGCATTCCTCTACAACAGGTAGTAACACACACACATGAAGTGTGTAAGACTTCTATATTTACACGTTATGTTGTGCATCATGCATACAGGTGTACTGAAACTGAAGCGTTTAAAATGCATCGCGTCTCGCGTCGGAAACGCTCTTTGTCCAGAATGCTTTTATTGTGATGTTGTTGTTGTTTACCCTGCGCGTCCCCGCCGCTGGTCAGGACCGCGATGGCTTTCCCCGCGCCGCTCATCCGCAGCTTCTCGAAGTCCACATGCATGATGGAAGATCACTAATATAAACCCGTAACACAGGAAAACACTCGCACTGGTTCCCAGTTGAAAGCTTCTGATATTCACCGCACGTAGCGCACGAATTGTGTCGGGGGCGCGCACGTACGCCTCCGCCCCATGTTTGTTTGCGCGCTCCTGCCTCGAGCTATACTTTTCTCTGAATTATCTCCATAAAGATTACATATGATCGAATAGCTATTTTGACTTAAACTGAGTAATGAAACAATTAATGCTCGAATTCCAGATAATTCCTCAATTAAAACTAATGCTGACTGAAGCAGTTCATTTCATGACATAATGTGTAATGTTTTAAACGTAAAAAGTTAATGAGTTAAAATAGTAATGCTATAGTGAGAGTCAGTGGAAAAACATTAACCTCCTGTAACCCTTAAAAAGCCTTATTATGCGAAAACGGTTTTTTTATTACAATAACTATAGGGAAATACAGAGTCATAAAACACTTGAATTTATAAAAAATAATATCACAATTCTGCACACAACAGCTTTACGATTGTTCTCTATTGAAGTCAGAGAGTCGTAAAAAACATTTAAGTCCGTGGAAAATAGTCCAGCATTTTGCTTTATGTATTTGATATTTCCCAAATAAAATTAAATTTTTAGTTATATTATCCATTTCCAGTAAACCGGTATCACAATCCATAAACAAGACCATTATAGTGACACATTTGTAAAGCACCTCAAAAATAAACAGAGAAACTTTGGACCAAAATAATGTGGTATTTATCACAACTAAAAAATAAATGTACAAATGTTTCCTCTTTACAAAAACAGCATAATGGAGAAACCCCGTCTTTAAACGTACTGATAAAATTATTTCATGGATAATATCTACTTATTATTTTAAAGTGAGTTTCTTTGACTTTATTTATTAATATCTGACCAACTGTATTGGACAGTTGTTGTTTTGTCGCCCTCTGCTGCTGATCTGTGAACTGCCCGAATGGAGACGCGCTGTTGTCATGGACGCGGAGTGACGCGCATGCGCAGTGACTGATTACGGAAAGCAGAGATGTGATGTTCCCCAGACGCGTTCGGGATCAACATTGACGCACTTACAAACAAAACCTTAATATTTATCAAGATGAAATTAACCCGGAAACTTGTTCTGGCTCGGGCTAAAGCATCGGACCTGGAAAGTGTGAAGAAATTAAACTGCTGGTGTGTTTTCTGCGGTTTGTTAGCTGCTAGCCTGATGAAAACCAGTCGTTTAATTATAGTTTTCCTTCAACATTAGTCTGTATTGGGTTTATGCTGTGTGGATTTACATGAATGATATTTCCTGAATAACTGTACTGTATTCTCTAATAATTTATTCGTGTATTTCAGGGGCTGTAATCTGACAGACGTGAGTATTGAATCTTTATTCTTCTTTTTAATGTTTAAAATCTCATTATATTACAACACACTGTTATCTATGGAAGACCATTTCTGTCACACAAGGACAAAAATCAGGCTTTGGTAAATCGAAAGTATGACATACCAAGTCATAATTACGAGATTAAAATGATATAAAGACATAATTTTGATTTAGTATGTCAATTTCCAATTTTCATCTTAGAAATATGACTTTGCAATGTCATAATTTTAGTGCTGTCAAATAGATTAATCGCATCTAACATAAAAGTTTGTTTATAATATGTGTGTATTTGACAGCACTACATACATTTTTTTATGTCATAATTATGATTTACAAAAGCATGATTTCTTTTTTATGTGGCGTAAATGGGCTTTCATAGTTAGCATTGGTAATACTGTGGTACTGAATGATTTCCATATTCATATACCATAGTACAATTGTAATCAAAATTATTCAACCCCCACTGCAAATCAGGTTTATTGGCAAAATATACAGACTTTCAGCTGTTTGCGATGAACAAATCAAACAGAAATAATTAAAATAAAAAGTAATTGGAAGTGTTTTCCCCAAATTAAACTGAAAATGCAACTTTTAATGACTTCAACAGTCTCAAAATGATTCAACCCCCTGAATATAATCCCTCAGAACAGCACAGATCTTCAGAACAGGTGTTGACTCACTAATCAAGGGCTTCATTAGCTGCACCAGGTGTGCTCGAGCTAGAACACATGACATATCTGAATAGCGAGGTTTGTTGAGTCACATTTGACTGTATTTTAGAAATATGGTCAAAAGAATAGTCCGAAAAGTAAATGATTCATTTCGATTACAACTGTATACCCATCTATTATATAATATGACATTTATTCAGTACACCATATGTATAAATGTAAAGTATATATGTGTTCATTTTTCCACAGATCTCCATATTTGAGCAGATTCCTAATGTCGAGGTTCTCACACTGAGGTTTGTTTTGAGCTTTCTGGGAATAATCAATTATAAATCTCCTCGTATCTCTGCCTCAACACGCACCAACGCTACATTCTTCTCAATGTCATAATCATACGTTAACAAACAAGTATACATTACTTCAATGAGCTCATTGTTTCTGCCTTAAATTATTACATTGTTTAAATGAATACAATGTTACCTCTCTCAGTGCGAATCACATCTCGTCTCTGGAGCACATCTCGTCCTGCCAGCATCTGAGCGAACTCTACCTGCGACGCAACGACATCCACTCGCTGTGTGAACTCCAGCATCTGAGGGGTCTGAGTTACCTGAAGGTCCTGTGGCTAGCGGAGAACCCGTGCTGTTACTCTAGCGACCCGAACACATACCGGCTGACCGTCATCAGAACCCTGCCCGGACTGCACAAGCTCGACAACCAGCGTGAGTGCAGCGCCTTTACATTACACTGGAAATTGCGCAAATTGAAAATACGCCCAATGGAAACACGTCAATTTTACTTCACAATCAAAATAGCTTTTGCGCTCGCATCATGAGGAGGTTTTCAGGCCATTCGAAAAAGGAATATTTCACAAAGCTGCAATGGAAACAGTTTTTGTCGCATTTACAGTCACCTCTTCAGAGTTCTTTATTAAACTCATAAAAGACTAAAGTATTACAGGAATACTGGATTCTAAACCTCAAAGAAACGCCACAATGAAGAGATTGAAGCCGATCTGAGGGAGAAACACCCAGAAACGCCTCATGTGTGCCGCTCACAGTATAAGAGTCTGTCCTTGCCGTTAAAGCTTGGAGAACACACACACACACACGTCTCCTTCCATTAATAATAATGTCCAGTGCGGCGGCTGGGATATACATAAACCCACCAACATCCGTCGCCATGATGTTTGGAATGATTATCGCGAGAGGGAAAAAATTACGTTTGGTCACATAACATCAATCATTTCTCAATCGTTCTTTATCGACATTTAGAAAAAAAAGGCAAAAGTTTTGCGCAAATCTGTAACAGAAACGCACCCAGTGACGGATAAAGCTTATAGAGTCGAGTCTCCTTCATTTATACAGCGCTTTAACTATATAGAGTTTCACAGCAGCTTTACAGTGATAACAGGAGATTACAGTAACAGAGAGTGTTTAGGCTTTACAGCAGCTCTAGAATAAAGTTATTGTCCAGATAAAGTTAGTTCTGATTGATTCACTTCCGTACACTCAAACTAAAAATTATTTAGACACCAGGGGCCTCATGTATAAACGTTGCGTACGCACAAAATGGGCATAGAAATATGCGTACGCACATTTTTCCACGCACATATCGGGATTTATAAAAAATAAACTTAGCGTAAATAAGTGCGCACCGTGAGGATGCTCTTGACCGTGCGTACGCACATTCTGGAGACAAAGGGAATTGGCGACACAGATGGTGAGGTCGTGAACTGAAGTTAGATTGTAGAAAATAAATGTGAGAAGAACGATTATAAGAATTAATGACATTTAATTTTCACTCCATTTCATACGTTATATCCACATTATCATGAAGATTAAATTCAACAGTGTTATTTGTGCCGATTGTTTTAGGCTATATACATCTAGTAAAATCCAAACGTAATTCAAAATGTATATAAAAAAAATAATAATAATAATAATCAGCGCTGCCTTACAGTCACATTGTCCACAACGGGAGCGCAGGAGGACATGGCGCGACTACATGTGATACAGAATAGCATGAAATACCCTTTTATTAGAGAACTGCAGAACACAGTGTAAAAAGGAAATATTTTCCTTAATGTACATATATCATAAAATGTCAAAGTCTGCAAATACAGTCATGAAGCACAATCGCTACTCATCATCGGTCCTAACTACGGTGTTCATTACAAAACCGTCAAGAAGCATGTGTTCACAATAACATTTAAAATAAATAAAAGAATGATTTAAACTGTTTTACTTCTGATATAAATATTTAGATTAAATATGCCATTCTCATTAATGGAGTTTCACTTAAACTAGCTACATGAAATCATTACTGAGAAGTTACAAAAAATATATATTCAATAAATAGAAATAGACCTATTTGTTGTGGATGCAATGCTTTTGAACACTTTTCTCTCTGCCATGCTGTGTTTTAATGTTTTAACTGATAGCTAATAGCAGATTGTCTGGGGAAATAGTTTCGTGCAAATAATGCACAACAATGTCTATCTGTTTCCATTAAAAATATAAATCAATTAAAAATACTCTTTGGCCAGTGGAAAAGATTGAGAAAAACTTTCTCTGAAATGTATTTTACACTATTTGATTTATTTATTCAAAAACAAGGCAAGGATATAGGCTGCTAAAAAAAATTATGAATGTAATAATGTGACGGCACATCCGTATTTCGTACCGTTAAACATGGTATCACGTGGATGAATAATCATATGCAAATGACATGCAGATGAGGATATGCATAGTAAAACTAGGCGTTGTAAGCTCCATATATGGTTGTTTCGGGGAGGAGACGCGCGTGCGCACAATCTTCCGCTGACTGGGATTTATAAAGTGAATTCTGCGCAGGTTCTGGCGTACGCACGCTTTTATAAATCTGAAAACTTTTGTGCGTACGCAAATTCTGCCTTATGTGCGTACGCACACTTTAAGGATGAAATCTACGCAAAGTTTTATACATGAGGCCCCAGATATCATTGTTTTTCACTAGTGTGTGCAGGACACTATAGTTCATTTCTGTAAGTGAGGAGAGCAAAATACAGCAAACTGTGACATATTACACCTAAATATTCTTCATACAGTGACTACCAGTAACATTTATTAAAACATGGGACCAATAATGATTCCTCCACTTTGAGCTGATCATGTTTTGCTGAAGTGTGTTTTCTGTAATTGCTAATGCTCTTTTTACACACACACTGAACAACATGAAGCATTGCTTGGTCACTGGTTGAGCTAAACTGGTATTATCTAATTGTGTAGTTAAATTTAACAGCTGACAGATATTCAACATAATTCATGTGTGAGAGTCTAACAGAAGGACAAAACCAGTCAAATATTGTCATATTTCATCACCATTTTCTAAACTACAGCGAATAAACTGTGATAATGTGACTGAATAAATTTAGGTTTGACTGTAGATATGAATATTCATGAGTTTGTTCTGTCAGTGATTACAGAGGAGGAACTCGCACAAGCATTAAAGGAAGGGGAGGAGCTTGTGAGCCCTCCAGGCCCCGCCCCCACCAGCTCAACCAATGGCCTTACAGAAGCAGAGTCCGAGAACGACCCTCTTAATTACAGTATGGAGGAAACCAAGTAAGACCTGCCCTGTGTTTCTGCTGTGTGGATGTGGAGCTGACACACACTCTCACACTGATGTCTGTGTGTGTGTGTGTCTGTGTGTCTTCGCAGTAAGATCCGCGCTCAGCTGGGAATGAAGCTTCTGCCGAGAGACAAGTTCCCCTCGCTGGCGTCCCCGAGAGAGGCCGGAGACAAGAGGAAGGTACAAACCCCGAGAATCATCCTCTCGTTCAACAGCAGCTCTTGTGCAGTGTTGGGGAACGCTACTTTTAAAAAGTAGTGCGTAATATTGTGTTACAGGTGAAACTGGAAAAATGAGAATATGGTGCAAAAGTTCATTTATTTCAGTGATTCAACTTAAAAGGTGAAACTAATATATTATATAGACTCATTACATGCAGAGTGAGATATTTCAAGCCTTTATTTGTTATAATTGTGATGATTATGGCTCACAGATATGAAAACCTTTTCACAATATTCTAATTTTGAATGTGGGGTTTTTATAAGCTGTAATCCATAATCATCAAAGTTATAACAAATAAAGGCTTTAAAATATCTCACTCTGCATGTAATGAGTCTATATAATATATTAGTTTCACCTTTTAAGTTGAATCACTGAAATAAATTAACTTTTGCACCATATTCTCATTTTTCCAGTTTCACCTGTAACACAATATTACGCATTACTTTTTAAAAGTAGTGTTCTCCAACACTGCTCATATGTAACTAATGTGTGTTGTTCCTGGTTTCAGTGTCACACACTCGAGGCCGTTCTGCTCCTGCTGAAGGATCTGGACGTGGAGGAGCTGAGGATCGTTCAGTCGGTCACGGAGAGCAAGCTCAGATCTCGCAGTCGACAGAGAGAGAGATCTCCTGTCTGCTCATGACCTCGCCCGCGGGAGACACCGTTACACCAGCGGCCCACCAGCACAGGCCATACCGGGAGAAACTACACATTTATACTGATTTCAGGAACACTTTACAATAAGGTTTTATTTGTTACTGCATTTGCTGTATATTCCTTACTACATTTGTTTATGTTCGTAGAAATACAGCGGTTCATTCATGTTAGTTCACAGTGCTTTAACTAATGTTACAACTGTTGATTTAAAAAACTGTGTTCGTTAATGCTGAAGTTAACTTTAAGAATATTAAATGCTGTCGAATTATAGTTCATTTTAACGAATGCGTTTTATGTTAATAAACAGAACCTTATTGTAAAGTGTTCTATAATAAATGTCTTGAGTTATTTGTTTTATGCTCAAGATATTAACATTTCATAGTCATTTTGAATCACTGCGATACTTCAGATCTACTCCTGTACGGGACAACGCCAGTGAATCATGTAAAGCTGTTGTTTGTTTAAATCTTTCATGCTCACTTGTGATTGTTACCAAGTTGCCTTTTGCTGTTCAAACTCCTGTTTTGGAGAAAATGTTTTGCTTTGTAATGATCTAAATAAAGTGGAACAGCATTTTGTGTTGAAATAATACATACGAGAATGTATTTTTCTATGTAAATAAATTCAGATGCACAAGAATATTTATTGTTTCCATCATGATCCTACACAATTTTACAGAATACTGTACATGATTAAGTGGACAAAACGAATTAGGTGTCGCTTAAACCTTAGATCTGCCATGTTTCCTTGAACATGAAGCACAAAACCAAATCATTTATGATACAAAGTTGACATGTTATTTATCAGAAAGATCAGGTGACATTCACCTGACGGTTTCCAGGTTTCATTCCACATCGTTTTTCTCCAGAAAGTCAGTCAGGGTCCCGTTATCCACCGGGATGAGGAGATACTCCACCCCGTCGGCGCCCTGACACACAAATAACACTGCATTAAAGGGATAGTTCACACAAAAATGAAAATTAGCCCATGATTTACTCTCCCTCAAGCCATCCTAGGTGTGTATGACACTCTTCTTTCAGACGAACACAATCTGAGTTATGTTAAAAAATGCTCTTCCAAGCTTTATAATGGCAGTGAATGGTTTTTTTTTTTTGGAAGTCCATAAAAGTGCATCTGTCCATCATAAAAGTGCATCTGTCCATCATAAAAGTGCATCTATCCATCATAAAAGTGCATCTGTCCATCATAAAAGTGCGTCTGTCCATCATAAAAGTGCGTCTGTCCATCATAAAAGTGCGTCTGTCCATCATAAAAGAGCATCTGTCCATCATAAAAGTGCATCTGTCCATCATAAAAGTGCATCTGTCCATCATAAAAGTGCATCTATCCATCATAAAAGTGCATCTGTCCATCATAAAAGTGCATCTGTCCATCATAAAAGAGCATCTGTCCATCATAAAAGTGCATCTGTCCATCATAAAAGTGCATCTGTCCATCATAAAAGTGCATCTGTCCATCATAAAAGTGCATCTGTCCATCATAAAAGAGCATCTGTCCATCATAAAAGTGCATCTGTCCATCATAAAAGTGCATCTGTCCATCATAAAAGTGCATCTGTCCATCATAAAAGTGCAAAAGTGCATCTGTCCATCATAAAAGTGCATCTGTCCATCATAAAAGTGCATCTGTCCATCATAAAAGAGCATCTGTCCATCATAAAAGTGCATCTGTCCATCATAAAAGTGCATCTGTCCATCATAAAAGTGCATCTATCCATCATAAAAGAGCATCTGTCCATCATAAAAGTGCATCTGTCCATCATAAAAGTGTATCTGTCCATCATAAAAGTGCATCTGTCCATCATAAAAGAGCATCTGTCCATCATAAAAGTGCATCTGTCCATCATAAAAGTGTATCTGTCCATCATAAAAGTGCATCTGTCCATCATAAAAGAGCATCTGTCCATCATAAAAGTGCATCTGTCCATCATAAAAGTGCATCTGTCCATCATAAAAGTGCATCTATCCATCATAAAAGAGCATCTGTCCATCATAAAAGTGCATCTGTCCATCATAAAAGTGTATCTGTCCATCATAAAAGTGCATCTGTCCATCATAAAAGAGCATCTGTCCATCATAAAAGTGCATCTGTCCATCATAAAAGTGCATCTATCCATCATAAAAGTGCATCTGTCCATCATAAAAGTGCATCTGTCCATCATAAAAGTGCATCTATCCATCATAAAAGAGCATCTGTCCATCATAAAAGTGCATCTGTCCATCATAAAAGTGTATCTGTCCATCATAAAAGTGCATCTGTCCATCATAAAAGAGCATCTGTCCATCATAAAAGTGCATCTGTCCATCATAAAAGTGCATCTGTCCATCATAAAAGTGCATCTATCCATCATAAAAGTGCATCTGTCCATCATAAAAGTGCATCTATCCATCATAAAAGTGCATCTGTCCATCATAAAAGTGCATCTGTCCATCATAAAAGAGCATCTGTCCATCATAAAAGTGCATCTGTCCATCATAAAAGTGCATCTGTCCATCATAAAAGTGCATCTGTCCATCATAAAAGTGCATCTGTCCATCATAAAAGTGCATCTGTCCATCATAAAAGTGTATCTGTCCATCATAAAAGTGCATCTGTCCATCATAAAAGTGCATCTAACCATCATAAAAGTGTGATGCACTTTTATGATGGACAGATGCACTTTTATGATGGACAGATGCACTTTTATGGACTTCCAAAAAAAAAAACATTCACTGCCATTATAAAGCTTGGAAGAGCATTTTTTAATATAACTCAGATTGTGTTCGTCTGAAAGAAGAGTGTCATACACACCTAGGATGACTTGAGGGCGAGTAAATCATGGGCAAATTTTCATTTTTGGGTGAACTATCCCTTTAATGATCGCTTGAGTTATTCTGCACATATGAAGGGACAGGCGAGTTCTGACCTTCTTGGTCCGGATGAGTTTGTGATCTCTGAACTCGGTGAGTTGCGTGCGCAGAGTGATGTCACTGTTCACCAGGAACGACTCGCGGCAGCGCTGGTAGAAATCCTGGAAAGACAATCCTGAACAAACAACAAAACAATGAAGTTTTAACACCCAGGAGCTGGATTATACATGCCCTCGTGGCAGTGGCGATGCTCACCCGTGTACGCAGGATTGTCCTTGTTCTCCAGCTGAAACTCTGCCAGTAATCTGAAGATTCCTCTGCAATTTACAAACAATTATTATATCATACAATACAAAAATTACTATTGTTCTATTTTTGTTCACATTTTTATAATGAATATTGGATTGTTTTAATTACTGGTGTACGACTGCAAAAAGTTCAAACGCATGCTTTTCATCCTTTAACGACTTTATAAATCCAGATTTACTTTTGACGCAGCATGAAATCAGTGTGTACCAATCGGCAACCTCCCAGTCTCTCTCACGCCCGCACACCATAACTCTCTTCAATCCAGCACTGAGTGAGTTAAACTGCAGTTCCTCCACTGGCCACTAGAGGCCGGCTGCAGAAGAGACTCATTCCATAGACCCGCATGTTAAAATGCCCAACTTTACAGCAGAATAAACATGATCACAGTCTGGTGCTAAAAGTGGTTTTGGTCTATATCGCTAATGTTGCTCTTCATGACGACTGTGAGGGGGGTGAATCTTTTTATAACTCATCCGTTTAAATTATATTTAGCCTTAAAGTTGTGCATAATTAAGGGCGTGGCCACTTGAGTGACAGGTGGATTGCCGCTGATGTCACTGCTAGCGTTTGTCTTCTGTGTGTTAGCGTCACCTCAGCTAATCCGCCTCGCTGCACATGTTCGTTTATCCGGGAGTGACGCGCGGCCAAGATGGCGACGGCCGGCTCCGCCCACTTTGGGCTTCAGAACCAACGAGTGACGTCACGCACACTACGCCCAGTGTTTTATACAGTCTATGGTCTGTACGTGCGTTTGATTTGTGAATGACTGTGCTTGAGGCTAGTGTTGTCACCTGGCGTTGGGCGTGAGGCTGCGCAGCACGTGTGTGAGAGAGCTGAGCGCTAGCGCCCCCGTCTGGTGAACGAGCAGAGAGTTCTCGTACGACGTCTCCTCAGCGTACGGCAGGTACGTCGTGGTCTCGTACCACAGCCAGTTGAACATGCTCATCTTGGCCTGATCCCAGACTGAAGCACACACACCAGGGGTTTATTACAGACAGTATCAGCATCTACTCAATATTACACGGCCATTAAATCAGTATCTATGGAAGATTGCTTCTGCCACAGACTAACACAGAAGTAATTGCCACATTTTATCTCACAATTCTCACTTTATTTCTTGTGATTCAGAGTTTAAAACTCACATTTCTGACTTTTTTCCTCACAATTTCAAGTGTATTTTTTTTAAATTCTAACATTTCTCGCAATTGCAAGTTTTTCCCTCGCAATTCTGACGTTTTTTTTTCTCACAACTATTGCATTTAATTTATATCTTGCAATTCTGAATTTATTTCACGCAATTGTTTAATTAATTTTCTCAATTCTGACGTTTTTACCGCTGTTGCAAGTTTATAACTCGCTCGCAATTCTGACATTATTTCCTGCTACTGCGTATAATTTATATCTCGCAATTCTGAAGATATTTCTCAGAATTGCACATTTAATTTTCGCAATTCAGCAATATTTCTCACAATTGCAAGTACATTTTTTTCCACAATTCAGACGTTTTTATCTTGCAAATGCAAGTTTATATCTCGCAATTCTGATCTTTTTTCTTGCTATTGCGTTAAATTTATAACTCGTAATTCAGACTTTTTTTTACACATTTAATTCGCAATTCTAAAAAAATTCTCACTATTGCATTTAATTTATATCTTGCAATTCTGATGCTATAGAAGTTTATTTATTAAAAATAAACTATTAAAAAGTTTTTTTTTCATTTTCTCAATAGTGACGTTTTTCTTGCCATTGCGTTTCATTTATATCTCGCAATGCTCACTTATTTCATCACAATTGCAAGTTTAATTTT